CGGGAACCGGTCTGTATGTGGGATCCGAACCCTCGGCGGGAGCGCCTCCGAGCTTCCCAAGCGGTGCACTAGCGCAGTGCGCCACTGGGCCGGCCCCTGTATACAAGGTTTTTTAAGAAAAAAAAACCAGAGGGAAAATGAGTGTGAGGCTTGATTAATAAATACACTGTGTAAAGCTTAGCTGCCATTCTTTCAGAATAAGTGCAGTCTCAATGGACTCTTCTTACTCAGAGGCTTTCATATGAAAAAACGTCATACTAGATAGAATTTATAGGATACTTAATTGATGATTCTGGAAGCTACTGTCAAATATTGGATGGTCAGTGAATATGCACATTTGTTCAGGAGAAACCTGGTGATCATGATAGATTATCTTTTTAAAAATATATTACTAATGTCAATTTTCTAATATTTTCTTTAAAGTTTTTTGCATCAATGTTCATAAATGAGACTATGTTTTAATTTTCTTTCTTGTTACATCCTTGCCCAGTGTTCGTATGAAGGTTATGTGGGTCTTATAAAATGTATTGGGATGTATTTCCTCTTGATCTATTTTCTCTTTAAGAATTTGTATTAAATCAATACAGTTTGTTCCTTAAAAGCTTGGTAGTATTCATCAATAAAGGCTTCTGGTTTTAAAGATTTCTTTTTTGAAGAGTTTCAATTTACCAATTCAATTTCTTTACTACTTATATGAATATTCAGATTTTCCTTTTGTTCTGATGCATTTTTTCTAAGAATTTGTCGATTTTATCTAAATTTAAGTTTATTGGCACAAAGATGTTCATATGTTCTTTTTTATTTTTAATGTCTGTAGCATCTATAGTGATGACTCCCTTTACATTTCTTGATCAGACTTGCCATGAATTTACTAATTTTATTAGTCATTTAACAAATTCAACTTTTGGCTTTAATAATCACTACCATTAATTTTTTCTCTTTCATTAATTTCTGCTCTTATCTTGATTATTTCCTTCATTGTACTTTTTTTGAGTTTAATGTGCTATTCATTTTCTAACTTATTGTGATAAATGCTTAGGTCAATCATTATCAGCCTTTTTTTCTTTCTAATATATGTATTTAGGTCCATACATTTTATTCAGAATAAGGCTTTATTTAGAGCTCCTGAGTTTAGTATGTAGTATTTTCATTATTCTTCAGTGAAAAATATTTTCCAGTTTCCGTTGTTATTTTTTCTTAGACTCATTTATCTGGAAGTGTATTTTTAAATTATCTTCTTGTTATTGATTACTAGCTTAATGCTACCATAATTAGAGAACATAGTCTGTATCATTCCAATCATTTGAACTTTGTTGAGACTTGCTTTATGACCCAGTTTATGGTCACTTTTGGTGAATGTTACTGTGTTTTTAATCCTAATGCATCACAGTATAATGTTAGTAAAAACAAAACCTGCACTTGGTTGGCTGATATGTGAAGACACTATGTTGTGAACAATGTGTGTGAACACTTCTCAGTGACTCAACTGAGGCAGAATACCTAAGACATTTAAAAGCAATGTATTTTCACCTAGTACTTACTCGTAAATCTTGACAAGCCAGAATGTTGTCAAGCCACTTATATAGGTAGCCATCTGGGGAAAGTCCCACATTGTCAAAGACAGGGCCGCAGCACAACACTGCTGACATTGCCTGATGACGAAAACACAACAGAACATGGAAATGAAACCTGGAATAATCTAATGGTATCCAACTGACTTTTAAAAACATAACTGTCAGATTTATAAATAATAAGAGCCCTTCAAAAGCAATTACTCCCCTAAGACTTGAAAGCATTCCTTAGTAAATTCAATATAAAATCCACATTCCAAATTTTGCTGTCTTTATAAGAGTTAAAAACCCATAAATTTAGGTTTGTGGACATGCACTTCTATGATAATAACAAATCTTTATGGTGAGTGAGTAAGTATTCAAAACAAAATGACCACTTCATAGTATTTAAAATAAACTCTCCTTCCATTATTTTAAGTGAATGAATTCTGCTTATAAGACAAATACAGCTTTTCAAATTTTGCTTTTATAACAAATATTTGACTAAAGTACTGATTTTACAAACTATGAAAAATATCAAAATAAATAATTATAATCCTTAATCAAAGCTGGGAAAAAACAAGACTATAAACCTTAGTTCTGCTAATGGGGCTGGGGAGGAGTTGAGGGAAGATAAGAGAAGGGAAGATCTTGATAAACTTTGCACTTAGCAGGTCCAATGGACTATCAGGGCCCACACTTTAAATTACCTCCACTGAAGCAAAAGTCAATGAGAGTCAGCAACTTATGGTATACATGACAGAGCTGATATGCAGTTAGTTTTCTAAAGGAAATTAGGCTATAAGGACTCATGCTTCTAAAGATTTTTTTTTTTTGTCCTTTTTGAGACCGGCCGCACAGAGTGCACCGGTCATCCCTATATAGGATCCGAACCCGCAGCAGGAGTGCGCCACGGGCTCGGCCCAAGATTTTGAACAGTCTAAGCAGTGTGGAAGCTTATTTCTGGCAGCCTTCTAGGATAATAAGAGACTAAAAAGGGAATGTGGCTCTTGGTAGTTTTGAACTTGAGGTGCCATCTAGTTTTTTTTTTTTTAGGTTGGAAATTAATTGGCATGACAGCTACTAAAAAGGTAAATAAGCAAAAATACATAGTTCTCATGTAGGAGAAACACTGGATAAAATTAGGAAATTACAGAAGTTTTGCATTTTGAAATTGTGAGCCAAATTGGAAAATTTACATATTTACACATATCTATGTTTATATGTATATATTGGCATTTTTGCAGCCAGTTTATGTATTTATACTTGTAGGTTTGTGTCCATTTGACTTTTTTTTGCATGTGCACTTATATTTTATTATATCATGTTATTTATTTTAACCTCATTTTCCAGTCTTAGTTGCTAGTTTTAGGAGAGAGACCATCGATCTGACAAAAGTTATTTATTGAGGAAAATGTCACCTACTTTCAATGCACAATACTGGTATCTTGTAATCTGATGATTTCTGTCACTGTACCGATCCAGAGGAGTAAACATAATGCTGAACGGTCCTGCCCACTGGCTAAATAATATGAAAAGATGGTGCCTCAGGCTTTGCTGGGGGAAGAGAAATCTTCGGTGGTGAACTAGGGAGAATAACACAGAGTTAGAGTCTACTAGACTTATCACTATTATACATGATTCTTAAGTTTTGGGGAAAGAACATTTTCATTTTCTCACTCCAGTTTCCTTTAGGTAATGAAACACGTATTTAAAAAGTCAAGCTGAATTTTCTTTCTAAGTGTGTCCTCTTTTGCTCACGTTGCAGTCAGTAGCGCCTTGACTCAGAACAGCAAGTGGAGATTGACAATGGGACCTGCAGACACTGTTTTCTAATCAACACCTGGGCAAACTGCAATACTTCCTGCTCAGCTGCTGCTTATGTATAAACTGTTTTCCTGACTGCTGCTGTCTGTCTTTAGAAAGAACTGTGAAATATGGTATAGACTATTTCAAACAACATCCTTTAACTAGAAGAAGTTGACTCATATCTTAATTTAGGGCCATCAAAGATGAGGAGACTTGGTAAGAAGAGGTTAATATCAAAATAATGAAAGGTAAAAACATTAGCTGAATTGCAGCTTTTGGGAACTATAACAAAAACTTTTAATTAGAGTAAATTCCATATTAAATTTTGACCAACTATTTTATTTTCTATGCTTCTATTAGAATGAAAATGTTTCATACCCATTTGCTTTGTGAAATATAATTCTCTCAATAATATTTAATCAAATGTAAAATGTGCTAAGCTATACAGAATTCTATTTAATGTGTTGATTGGGTAAAGTCAGAGAGCAGGAATATTGCTGAAATGACCTGTTCACGGGTTGGCACAAACAATGTGAAAAAATTAGCAGAGACAGGGAAGCCCGTGTGAATGTTCCCTTTGAATTACTTCCTTCCTATGGAAATCACATAAGTTCGTTTTCAGATGGGAACCAAAACAAAGAATAGAAATGATGAGAAGAAAGCCAAATTTAATTCCTGTTGTTCTCTTTCCAACTCTGTGCTGAGTTATGACAATCTGTTCTCAGATATATTTCTAACTATCTCAAAATAAACAATCTCATCCCAGACCTGTGTACAGGCCGGTAAGATTAAAGAGGAGAGCAGTAATGAAGTACACATGATTTTGCAAGCATGAAAGGTAATTCGTAATGATGTATCATCATACCTGGAACACACTGAATCAAGTTGGCGACCATTGCACTAAAATGTGCTCGGATATCTTTGAGAATTTCAACTTCTTTGTCATTTTCAGCTTCCAGGAGCATACGGGTCAAGTCCACATATTCTAAGAACAAAGCACCAAGGGCTAAAGTATCTCGTTCTAAGGCTCCATTTGTGCTGGAATAAAGGAAAATTAAACTTTTAGATGATTAGTCTTTACTAATCATCTACTTTAATCAAAGTTGTACATGCCTGATGAAAAATAAGACTCACTGTCAGAACTTACACACTAAATTTGTTCCTAACCTATAGCAGTATAAGTAGAATATGAAAAAAGAAAAAGTAAGCTGTTTTTTTCTTTTTTTTTGACTTTTCTGAGTTACAGGTAATACATTTTAAAAAAAGAAAGAGATAGAAAAGAGAGACAAAAAGACCATGTTGGTGAGGAGGGATCAACTCAGTGCAATTTTGACTCTACCTATCACTTATTACACCAGCATCAGCCAGAAGTTCAAAAATTCGAAGTAGTTGTAGTCTTAACAGGTCTCGCCGTTCTCGGCGTTTCTTGTTCTGTGTAGAAAGAGATAATACTATTTATAGACATGGGCAAAACAATATTAATTTTGTTTTAGAAAACTATTAAAGAAAGGTAAAATCTAGTCTTTTGAATTTTCTAAGCACAGAAGACAAAATGTATTTTTCTTTCTACACACTGTAAGAGAAACAGATCATATGTAAGTGGGTCAATAAATATTTATAAGGTAGAAATGTTGAGAATGAGTCTCATTTCCCAGATATTCCCAGTGTCTGCAGAAAGGCTGAAGCATCTGAAACAAGTGAAAAGGGACAAGGGACACTGATAATCTCACCAATTCTGATCATGGAGGTAACACAATTTGTTCTTTTTCAAATTGCTAAATTTTAGCTATTTCTTGTATCAAATTTACAATATGGGAAGTTTCTTTTTAAATCTTATTTATTTATTTATTTTTAATCCTAATACATTATAAATTTATTCTTTTCAGAATTCACTTCAGGGAAGATAATGTTGAGGAAAATGCTTCAGATGCCAGATAAGACCAATAATATTCGTGACCAATAAAATCCAACTCCTTGTAAAAAATAAGCAAACAAACGGAAAACTAAAATTCAATTTTAACTCAAACCTCCTGCAAAAAAAATAACAACATAATATGACTATTTAAATTTTTATTTATATAGTTAGGGCATAATCCTTTAGAATGGGAATCATATTATACTAAATACTTAAGTATGGAAAAATAATAAAAACAACAAAAGTTAAAATATTAAAATTCATTGTTAAAAGCATGTTGGGGTGTTTGTATTCTTTACAGGAAACCACTGAGTTTGATGTAAGTTCATACCATTGTCCAAACAAACCATACCTTATTTATTTAAATTCAAACTCTTACCTCTGGTCTTCGTTCCAGAGCTTCTTTCATTAATGGATGAAGTTCTTCTACCAATTCTCTATGGAGGAAAAAGGTCAGCATTTGAAATTCATTGCTATTGACATCAAACTTGTCACTAAATCCTATCACTTGCTTTTTTTCCTTTGCTTCTGACACCAAAAACTCCCCTGACCTCTCCATTTCTCAATGATAAGGTGAACTGGAAAAGGCATTAGCCTGTACTTTGTATTATTGGTCTTAATCTCAGTGCTATGTATATAATTTTGACTTAATACATATTTGTTGACTTGATTTTGATTTAATGTCCTGGGGTCTCTATGGCAAAAAGCCCTACCTGAACAAATAAACAAACAATATTTTTCAAGTGCTTACTCAATTCAGAGCACTTTACCACAAGTTATGGCACTGAAAATAGAGTCCCTGCACACAAAAAATTTTCAGTCTAATTAGAGAAAAAGAGACCAATGTAATTACCATGGTACTACTTTTGGTATCCCTGCTTAGGAGACTGACTTATAGTTGATTTAAAAAATAAAGTCTTTTTGATTTCAGAGCTAACTTCTTTTATTTGAGCTATATGATAAATACAAATTATGGCAAGTACTAAAACTGTGAGGTTCTCATTGAAACCTTTTCTCTTGCATAGTAAAAGTACGTTTTGATGGTATTAATATATACCTTAAATTGCATATATGTACTATGCCTGCCCCCAGTATCTCCGGTTCTCAGTTTTCTACTTGTTAATTTAATTAGTTGTCTTTAGGAAATAAGTCTGAATTGCAATATCAAAACATACAAAATTGTGAGGTCTGTTGCGAGACTAGCATCTAGGTGTTTTGTCTATAATCTGTGCCATGTCTGAAAACCTTGTACTTTCTGGTAGGATATGTTGTGCTACAAGACATTACCCTACAGGAAAATCCAAAGACAGGAAGGAAAACTCTATGGCATTCTGCACTGAGAAACAGAAAACCCGGATTCTATTTCTGATTTTTCCAATACAGATGCCAGAATTTCTTCATCAGAGAAATGGGAATAATAATGGTCTCCTCCACCTAACAGCTACCATTTAGCAAATATTTACTATGTGCATGTTCATATTTAACATATCCTCTCAATAAGTCTATGGTAGGGATTCTATTATCATACCAAATTTTTTTATTGAAAAGATACACTTTCTTTTTATTAATTATACCTATTTTATAGGTGAGGAAACTGTGGTCCAGGGACATTAAGTCTTCCAGACTCATGTGGCTTGTCAGTTCATAACCTTATCTACCTCTAGGAATATTGAGAGGGCAAGATATGCAAACGAGCCTTAGGTTCTTTGGGGGGAAAAAAGATAATTCCTGGAATGTTATTGTTATCTTCTTATATTTCTATATAATGCTTTAACTAATTAAACAATATCTGGTAAAACACTGGTTAACTGGCACCCAAGTATTGAGAACCCATGATTAATCCTTTCAAGGATAAACTCTGACTCTAAACATGAATAATTTAACACGTCTTTTTCAATTGCATCTAAAACATCTCATTAATCTTATTTTCCAAATAGGGTTTCACACAGATGCTTGAAGCTTTCCCCTTTTCTATCTACATAGAAAATTTTATTTGTCCTTATAGGCTATAGCTGCTTAGCTGAAGTCATCAGAGGCAGCCCAAATTAACATTTTACAATGCTTCCTTCAAAAGGCTTTGACACTCCTTCAGATAGAATGGTTATTTGATTGCAGTTGTGAAATAAAAGATTCTAGAACACCAGGTATGCTGGTTCTGTTAAGGCAGAGAAATTGCCTTATAGAAAGATGAACCTATGTAACTACACACTGGAAAGGGTTCTGTCAATGCTTAACCTCTAAGAGCCTGTTGCGTAAATGGCTGGTGAGCAGCCGTGGTTATTATTTTGATGTTACAGCCTCTGAACAGTCTGGTTAATGGGGGATTGACACTGAATTATCTTTATTTATAGTTATCTAAAACAAAGCTTGCAAGTGAAATAAGATCTGAGAGGTAAAATCATAGTTGCAGTGACTAAAGGTGAATGAGTGTAACTACATGCACATCAACCAAAGACGACGTAAAGGAAATCCTGCAAAGCCTGGACAGTACTCTCCAGGCACACGCCAATAAGCAAACTCGAATGAGTTAAAAAGAAGAACTATGACAGCAGCAGGATGTGTGATTTTAGAACAACTCATTAAGACTACTGTACCTGAAAACAAGGGAATTTGTTCTTCCAAATCCTAAAACTAACGACTCTGTGATCTCAATGCTCTCTAGTCTCATCAAAGGCACCAGCTGCTTTAACAGAACTCCCACCGATGGGGTGCCGATAGCCTGAAACAAGTTGATTAAAAGTGAAAAAGAGGTAACATAATAACTGAGTTCCTTTAGTCAAACCAGGATTCCATTATAACAGTTTCAAAGACTAAAACCACATCCCAAGGCACTGCCATCGTTTCAGGAACACAAAAACAAAACCCCACAAATTTAATACAGCACAATGAATGCATTCCTTACCTGGGACACAAATTGTAAAGATAATTTTTATAACAGTTCTCTTCTTTTAACCACGTAAGTCTATAAAAGTATCTTTAACAAAATAATTTAATCAAGGCATGGTTTCAAGGTGATACTTGGTGAGGAGTGAGAGAAATGTGGTATGTAGGACATGAACCAAACCTCTGGGGACTAATAAATACAAGCCACTCGATGGTCTTAAGCACGTTTCCCAACTTCTCTTTATCTTCGGTTCCCCACTTGTCAGGGAGGAGTAACACATTATTCACATAAATACGCAATGGAGTTTAGAAATGTGTGGGATGAAAATCTGATCCTATAATACTCCAGATGGCAGGCACAGTGCAATTTGCACTGTGAACTCTAGACAAACAAGCTAAAAAAAAAACCTTACAGAATAATTCTTCTGAAGCATGTCATGTCACCTTGTTATCGTAGCTCACTGTACCATCAGGGGTGGTCGCCATTATTTCTGGAGTAGAAGCTCTTAAGTGTCCTGGGCTCATAATACTGGGTTTTGCAACTCCAAAACAAAGAATAAGGTAATTTCTCCACAAGGTAACGTAGTTGTCTCCGCTGCCGGCAGTGCTGGTTTTCTTGGCATTAATTGGGCTACTAGAAACATGGAGTCAAAAACAAGAGTGAAACTAAGTTTCAGGTTTTTAATATCATGAATTAAAGATCATAGGAAGTGCTCAAATAGAGTTGAACAACTATCCATCAAGGATGTCTCTCAGGGAATATCTGCACTGGATGAGAAGTTGAATAGAAGAATTTTAC